TTGCAGTTGAGTAGTATGTTGATGATGTGACTCTTCTTGTCAGTTGACTGCCTTGGTTGTCTTGAAGTTGGGTAAGTTGAGTAGTATGTTGATGATGTGACTCTTCTTGTCAGTTGACTGCCTTGGTTGTCTTGAAGTTGGGTAAGTTGAGTAGTATGTTGATGATGTGACTCTTCTTGTCAGTTGACTGCCTTGGTTCTCTTGAAGTTGAGTAGTATGTTGATGATGTGACTCTTCTTGTCAGTTGACTGCCTTGGTTGTCTTGAAGTTGGGTAAGTTGAGTAGTATGTTGATGATGTGACTCTTCTTGTCAGTTGACTGCCTTGGTTGTCTTGAAGTTGGGTAAGTTGAGTAGTATGTTGATGATGTGACTCTTCTTGTCAGTTGACTGCCTTGGTTCTCTTGCAGTTGAGTAGTATGTTGATGATGTGACTCTTCTTGTCAGTTGACTAGGGGCGGTCGGGTAGCCTAGTGGTTAAAGCGTTCGCTCGTCACGCCGAAGGCCCGGGTTCGATTCCAGACATGGGTACAATGTGTGAAGCCCATTTCTGGTGTCCCCCGCCGTGATATTGCTGGAATATTGCTAAAAGCGGCGCAAAACCATACTCACTCACTGTCAGTTGACTGCCTTGGTGCTCTTGAAGTTGAGTAGTATGTTGATGATGTGACTCTTCTTGTCAGTTGACTGCCTTGGTTCTCTTGAAGTTGAGTAGTATGTTGATGATGTGACTCTTCTTGTCAGTTGACTGCCTTGGTTGTCTTGAAGTTGGGTAAGTTGAGTAATATGTTGACGTTGTGACTCTTCTTGTCAGTTGACTGCCTTGGTTGTCTTGAAGTTGGGTAAGTTGAGTAGTATGTTGATGATGTGACTCTTCTTGTCAGTTGACTGCCTTGGTTGTCTTGAAGTTGGGTAAGTTGAGTAGTATGTTGATGATGTGACTCTTCTTGTCAGTTGACTGCCTTGGTTGTCTTGAAGTTGGGTAAGTTGAGTAGTATGTTGATGATGTGACTCTTCTTGTCAGTTGACTGCCTTGGTTCTCTTGCAGTTGAGTAGTATGTTGATGATGTGACTCTTCTTGTCAGTTGACTGCCTTGGTTGTCTTGAAGTTGGGTAAGTTGAGTAGTATGTTGATGATGTGACTCTTCTTGTCAGTTGACTGCCTTGGTTGTCTTGAAGTTGGGTAAGTTGAGTAGTATGTTGATGATGTGACTCTTCTTGTCAGTTGACTGCCTTGGTTCTCTTGCAGTTGAGTAGTATGTTGATGATGTGACTCTTCTTGTCAGTTGACTGCCTTGGTTGTCTTGAAGTTGGGTAAGTTGAGTAGTATGTTGATGATGTGACTCTTCTTGTCAATTGACTGCCTTGGTTGTCTTGAATTTGGGTAAGTTGAACAATATGTTGATGATGTGACTCTTCTTGTCAGTTGACTGCCTTGGTTGTCTTGAAGTTGGGTAAGTTGAGTAGTATGTTGATGATGTGACTCTTCTTGTCAGTTGACTGCCTTGGTTGTCTTGAAGTTGAGTAGTATGTTGATGATGTGACTCTTCTTGTCAGTTGACTGCCTTGGTTCTCTTGAAGTTGAGTAGTATGTTGATGATGTGACTCTTCTTGTCAGTTGATTGCCTTGGTTCTCTTGAAGTTGAGTAATATGTTGATGATGTGACTCTTCTTGTCAGTTGACTGCCTTGGTTCTCTTGAAGTTGGGTAAGTTGAGTAATATGTTGATGATGTGACTCTTCTTGTCAGTTGACTGCCTTGGTTGTCTTGAAGTTGGGTAAGTTGAGTAGTATGTTGATGATGTGACTCTTCTTGGCTGTTGAATCCTTTGGTTGTCTTGAAGTTGGGTAAGTTATGTAATCAGATGATGATGTGATTCTTCTTGTCAATTGACTGCCTTGGTTGTCTTGAAGTTGGGTAAGTTGAGTAGTATGTTGATGATGTGACTCTTCTTGTCAGTTGACTGCCTTGGTTGTCTTGAAGTTGGGTAAGTTGAGTAGTATGTTGATGATGTGACTCTTCTTGTCAGTTGACTGCCTTGGTTGTCTTGAAGTTGGGTAAGTTGAGTAGTATGTTGATGTGACTTTTCTTGGCTGTTGAATCCTTTGGTTGTCTTGAAGTTGGGTAAGTTATGTAATCAGATGATGATGTGATTCTTCTTGTCAATTGACTGCCTTGGTTGTCTTGAAGTTGGGTAAGTTGAGTAGTATGTTGATGATGTGACTCTTCTTGTCAATTAACTGCCTTGGTAGTCTTGAAGTTGGGTAAGTTGAGTAATATGTTGATGATGTGACTCTTCTTGGCTGTTGAATTCTTTGGTTGTCTTGAAGTTGGGTAAGTTATGTAATCAGATGATGATGTGATTCTTCTTGTCAATTGACTGCCTTGGTTGTCTTGAAGTTGGGTAAGTTATGTAATCAGATGATGATGTGATTCTTCTTTGCTGTTGAATGCCTTGGATATCTTGAAGTTGGGTAAGTTATGTAATCAGATGATGATGTGATTCTTCTTGGCTGTTGAATGCCTTGGATTTCTTGAAGTTGGGTAAGTTATGTAATCAGATGATGATGTGATTCTTCTTTGCTGTTGAATGCCTTGGATATCTTGAAGTTGGGTAAGTTATGTAATCAGATGATGATGTTATTCTTCTTGTCAATTGACTGCCTTGGTTGTCTTGAAGTTGGGTAAGTTGAGTAGTATGTTGATGATGTGACTCTTCTTGTCAATTAACTGCCTTGGTTGTCTTGAAGTTGGGTAAGTTGAGTAATATGTTGATGATGTGACTCTTCTTGGCTGTTGAATTCTTTGGTTGTCTTGAAGTTGGGTAAGTTATGTAATCAGATGATGATGTGATTCTTCTTGTCAATTGACTGCCTTGGTTGTCTTGAAGTTGGGTAAGTTATGTAATCAGATGATGATGTGATTCTTCTTTGCTGTTGAATGCCTTGGATATCTTGAAGTTGGGTAAGTTATGTAATCAGATGATGATGTGATTCTTCTTGGCTGTTGAATGCCTTGGATTTCTTGAAGTTGGGTAAGTTATGTAATCAGATGATGATGTGATTCTTCTTTGCTGTTGAATGCCTTGGATATCTTGAAGTTGGGTAAGTTATGTAATCAGATGATGATGTTATTCTTCTTGTCAATTGACTGCCTTGGTTGTCTTGAAGTTGGGTAAGCTGAATAATGCATTGATGATGTGACTCTTCTTGGCTGTTGAATCCTTTGGTTGTCTTGAAGTTGGGTAAGTTATGTAATCAGATGATGATGTGATTCTTCTTGTCAATTGACTGCCTTGGTTGTCTTGAAGTTTGGTAAGTTGAACAATATGTTGATGATGTGACTCTTCTTGGCTGTTGAATCCCTTGGTTGTCTTGAAGTTGGGTAAGCTGAATAATGCATTGATGTTGTGACTCTTTTTGGCAGTTGAATCCCTTGGTTGTTTTGAAGTTTCATAGCTGTATTATTAGATGATGATGTGACTTATATTCTTTGCAGGTGGATCTCTTGGTAGTTTTGACTGTTATTATTGGCAGTTGAAACCCTCTGTTGTGTAAGCTCTTCTTGGCTGTCCTTGGCAATTGACAGTGTTGGCTTTACCTCTTCTCAATCCTGTATTGTACCATCAAGAAAATCTATTTATTGTTATTTAATTGTAATCTTAAACAAAAATCTAGATTTAGAGATTTTATGACTATAAACAAGACCAAGATACATTGCACTTAGCATTACCTTTTGTAAAATGCTTTTTATGATTCATAGTCATGTTAATGTGTTGGAACAGTTAAATTGAGATAGTTTACTCCAAATTTGATTCCTCTCTGTCAATACCTTGCAAACCATCCATTATACATACTAGGTCAGATAAACCCTGAGGAAATGTTGAGGACTGCCTCAGTAGTTCACTCTCTTGTGTGTAGATGCAATGGTGGACAATCTGTGAAATAATCCACAACATAGCACAGCTGTTAGTATTCACAATTTGGAACTAACCCTTGGTAATACTTTTTGAGAGACAGCTCCTACAAGTGCCTAGCTCATGAGGACTTCCAAGCCTCCAAATTGTTGGCTGATTATACAGTTATCCCCTGACATGAACCCCAATCAAAGGTTGGACAGATCTTGATTAAGAGAGGTGTCTAATCAGAGTAGGAGGCCTGGTTTTCACGTTGACAGTATTCTGTAGGTGCAACAAATGATTTTGCTTATTTCTGTAACTAAAGGTATGGGTGATAATTTCAATGACGTGTTCTGCTATCAAACAATATCTGATATATTCGATGTAATAAGCGTCCACAGCGATACTTGCTAATATATTGGCTAGTGAACAATCCCACTGGCACCCTTCCAATTGATCAATGTACACAAGACTTATTTATTTGTGTATAATACGCACAGACTTTTCTTTTGTATCATTTCAGGCTGTCAGCATAAACCATGAAATTTACGATCTTTCAACTCTTTCAACAAAATTATATTCCAATAAGAGCCCGTTTCTAATTTTGAGAGCACTCTGGGCACTTATTAAGTCAAATACGGTATTGAATCCCATTGTAACCTGCTTCATTTTGATAATAGAACACAGCTTCTGATTGTTTTTGGGACTGTAAAACTGATAAGCCAGTATCTGAAATATATACCCAGAGGGCCTATTATGAAAATGTTTTCCAGGGGTCATTGACCTTGGCCCTCTTGTACTGTTATAATCTGAAGGTCTTTGCATTTTCACACATATTTTTCAAAATCTTTTTTTTTTGTCTATGAAACTTGTAGTCATATATACAGTGTTTGATTGATCATTTTTAATTTATTATTGTTTTGGCTCTGTTACTGATTAGGATATTAGGTGGCAAAATATAACTGATTCTAAAATGTGATAAAAAAAAAATCATCAGTATATCGGATCAGAACAACATCCAGTGAGTCGGTGACCTGCAGAACCTCATGACACAGATAACTGGATAGTGTTGAATACTGTCACTTTACATTCTGGTTGAAATAGATTGGAATTACATGGGTCCTTCATTTTGGGAGTCCAGGGAACTCTCAGTTGTAATTCTGGGGATGAAAGGCATGAACAGTGAAGTCCGCGGCTGGCAACATGTGGCACACTTCAAATGATGATCAAACCTGCGAAGATCCGGGTAAGAGTAGGTCTTCAGAAGCGCATGCTTGCCGTAAGAGGCGACTAAAGGAATCGGGTGGTCAGGTGGTTGATGCATGTCATTGTATCAATTGGATCTAAGCTCATGACATCAATCACTGGATTGTCTGGTCGAGACTCAATTACTTACAGACCGCCGTAATACAGCTGAAATATTGCTGAATGTGGTGTTAAACAACAAACAAACAAATAATGATCATGATGGGCTACTACTGTCAAAATGGACCAATCACAGAGCTCAATATAAAATATCTAGATGCAGTTTCCTGATAACGTTTCTTAGCATCGCATTGTGTATGATTATTGCTTATACAGTGTGCAGAATACAAAACAGAGTTCGGCTCCATACAAAGCTGCATAGGGACCATTTTTATCGTTTCGCAGTATTTGTGAGTACATGATTTGGAATATTAACAAGGTTTCCACCAAAACAAACTCGCCTTGTTTTGGTATGGGGATTCTTTATTTGTTTTATTAGACTGGAATTAAATACAGTGCACTGTTGAATGCGCCAATGTTGTGGCCTCGAATGAACTGTATTTGTAACAATGTAATCTACAGTTTTGGCAAGTATTAGTGATTCAAGCCGCCAAATTTGTTCAGGTGTCCCTGGACTTCATTGTTTGTATTTGGGGTGAAATATTTTGCATCCAGTACAACCCTGGGATGGTGAGGAATTGTGCAGGTGTAAAACATGCCGTAACCAGGGGATGTGTGAGGATACAGATGCAAATATATTAACTTCAAAATAGAATTCTTTAAATTCAGTTGCTACAATGATGCTTTTAACATTTTGAACTTAATTATTTTGGCATTTTCTCCTATTTGTAATGATTCTAGAGCAACTAAGACATTGACTGAAATTATTTTTACAAAACTTCAGAAAGGTTATTTGCTATAGTTTTAAATGAACTTGCTTACCAAACACAAATCCCTAAAGTGTTGGCTGATGATAATGCTGTGGATGTTGTTGATGGTGATGATGAAGATGATGATGATGATGATGATGGCAATGATGAAGATGAAGGCAATGATGAAGACGATGATGGCAAAAAGTGGAAGGGGAAGTCTACTTTTGCCAAGATATATTCAGTTCTATATGTAAGTTTCTGTATAATATATGAAATGTTGTACTTTCTTTCATTGAATGTTTCAATGATTACTATTGTATCACCAAATTAGTTTGTCTATTTTGCTTTTGTTTTTAAGATGTAATGGTCAGAGGTTATCTACCAGTGACATAAGAAAATACTAGAAAGTGCTAAATTGTGCCAATCAATTTCAAGTTACAAACTTTCATATTCAAACTTCTGCATCCTCATAAAACAAAGTCCTGGTTTTAAAAAGAATGAAAAAGTCACATGTTGTTAAATTATGAAACGTGTGGCCCAGTCAGACAGTGTCAGCATATTACATATTATTGTGTTAGGCTTTTGAGAAGTGTTGAAGTAACAAAGCATGGTTGAGCACCTGATTGACCTTTAATTCCGAACACTTGGAGATACGTTCTGACCAACTTGAATTTTAAGAATGGCAATCACTGCCTATTAATTCACTTCCATTATACATCTGTTGTTGTTTTTTGTTATCCATATTGAGATTACAGCTTACCTAAAGAATGGATTACCATATAAGGGTGAAATGATGATCGCAAGTCAAGAGGTATACATATATGTGATGGAAACTGACTGCCCATGAAATTACCGGTTGCAGGCATGATGTGCCAGTGGAAAGCAATAGTTTACTTGTAGCCAAACCTGTTATAAGCTGATCAAAGCTCTAATTTACTTGGCAAAGAACGAATTAACCAGTCAGTATCCTGTATATGTTTGAGAACAGAAACATGGAGGTTGTTGTATGTAATTGTTATTATTGCTTGAGATTTGATGTTATCATGCTCAATAAATCTTTTATATCTGTTGTTATCTTGTTTGGTGTCATTTTTAATTTAATATTGTAATCAAATTTTATTTACTCGAACATGTCATTTTTAGCTTACATGACAAAAAGTCAAGTGATCCATCTGGTTGTCTGTCATTAACTTTTACGTTTTGTTACATCACCTCTAAACCTACAATGCATATGAATATGAGCCTAAGCATTTATGGTCACAGCTAGGTTGTTTTATAAAAGTGCTCACGGAAGTCCAGTCTGATTTTAAGTATGGCCAACATGGTGCCCATATTGGAAAAAAACCATTAATGGCCACAACAATTTTGTTTTTAAATGTTTTGAAATTTGGTATAAGTGTAGTTAGTAGTGGGGTCTAATGTATGTTTTTGCAATGTTATAAATTTTTATCTTGATTAGACCTTTACTTTTCACCAAATACTTAATTTCTCTGAAAAGGTATTTTGGGCTCTGTAAACATCTGTAAACAACTGCTGGACTAGAGAAGCTGAAATTTGGCATACATGTTCCTATCAAAACATGCTATAGATGTTTACAACAGTCACTACATGAGGAACAACTCATGACACACCAAAATCTTTGCTTAAGATCTGGGGTAGAATAGGTCTTCATCAACCCATGCTTTCCCTTAAAGGCGACCAACGGGATCAGGTGGTCAGGCTTGCTGACTTTGTTGATGCATGTCATCGATCCCAATTGTGTTGACCGATGCTCATGTTTTCAATCACTGGATTGTCTGATCCAGACTCGGTTATTTACAGACCCGTCATATTGCTGGAATATTGCTGAGTGCTGCGATAAACAACAAACAAACAAAGCATAATCTACGTTTTTACCCCAGCATATAGTGTTCTGAATCCCAATTCCATGGTATTGTTTTGAAAGCTCAATAACTACTCTAGTATACTAACAGACAGATCAGATAGAAATTCTTCATTATGTGGACTTAACAGGCAGATTATTTTTTCTTTCGAATTTGTTGGACCAGGGGGATTTGTCATCTTCTGATGGCTCTTGTATGTTTACATTTAAATGCAAAATCACACATTGACTGTTTCAAGTGTGAAGTGCCTGGTCATGAGCAGCAAACAGAAAGCCTATCCTTCGCAGGGTTGCTGCTCTTCTCAACACATTTGACATAAACTCGATGCAGTCGTCGATCAGATAGGTTGTCCTTGAAAAGCTGTGTTGGACGATTTGATATGGCACTTCTTGGTTGACACTCATTTCTGTACAGTCCAGCAGTATAGAATCATCAACAAATCATCATTAACATTGAGACATCCTTGGCTCATTTAAGGAAACTGGAATGCCTTGTTTTCATCAAAAGTCTTGACATGCTTCACAAGAGGACTATAAGATAAATAAATGTGAATTACAATTCTATCATGAATAGCATTCACATTAATCAAATCCGCGCTCCAATTATAATTGGTTATTATAAGGATTGAGGGAAGAGCAAGGGTGGTGGGATCTATTGTCTGACATCATTTTTCGTGGGAGGTTGTCAATACCCTTAATTTCGTGTTTCGTCCAATCAACAACACCAAAGAATGGGTAAAACACACGTTTTTGTGACTTTGACTGTATTTTATAGCTCTGAACTCTATCTGATTTTCTTAAGTCTACATTTGTACTCTACTCGAAGTTTTTCCTTGACATGGACATTCTGGAGTTTGGCCCTTACCTGCATCCCTAGGTACCTATAGGGCTGACCTTCCACAAGATGGTCAATGATTCCTCTCCCAAGTTTGTTTGTTGTTTAACGCCCCACTCAGCAATATTCCAGCTATTTGACGGCAGTCTGTAAATATCGAGTCTAGACCAGACAATCCAGTGACTGACATCATGAGCATCGATCTACGCAATTGGGAAACGATGACATGCATCAACCAAGTCAGCGAGCCTGACCACCCGATCCCGTTAGTCGCCTCTAACGACAAGCATTGTCGCCTTTTACAGCAAGCATGGTTTGCTGAAGACCTATTCCAACCCGGATCGAGCCACTCCATAAGATACGTTTGTGCCAAGGCTGGACATCAAATGACAATATGTTGGACAGTCTCATTAAATTCATAGAATATATTATATACTACATATGTCATATTGATACAAATTATAGCTGTTTAAATTTCTGACCTACTTCACATGGTTGATAATCAGATTTAATTACCTTGCCAAGATTGCTAGGTTTCTGTAAAAAAAATGCATTTTAAATTTATAAATAAAATCGATGATGTATAACGAAAGGCAACTACCCGATGTCATGCTCCTTTAGGTCGTGTGAAGACTATACTTTCATTGACGTCGCTACTCTTTTGTCCCTATTAAAAATCTCTTTTGAGAATTTACCAACCAAGACAGGAACGCCCAGGCATGGTGTGACGGTTAGAAAGGACGAAGTTGTCATTTGATCTAAGTTGTTGTTCGCATATGCACATATACAATATTCCTTCTCTCATCTCACATCGCCGCCCCGCTGGATAAACTCGGTGACATATCAAGTGCGCTTTGACTGTGACTGAAAGACTGAGATAACCTGTCATGTCGAGAATACGAGTGTTTGATGGACCGGTACTGTTCGTCTTTGAGCTTCTTCTAGTCTTTGAAAGTGCTCTGGGTAAGTGTTTGTTTCTGGTATAATGTTAACTATAATACCATACTGTTAGAGACACTAAAGCCCCATTCACATGGACACTTTTACTTACGTGAGTATATATTCTTACATAAGTAAATTTACTTATGGTGGCATGTGAACGCATTTTCTTACATGAGTAAATTTTGTCCATGTGAATGGGGCTTTAGTTAGTTAACTGTAACTTAACACCTCATCGTTAACCTCGGTTAAGACGGGATTGACTGCACATCAGGGTTGGAAATACGGGGTGTTGGAGTCTCAGAACAATATACAGTAAACTACGTTTATAACGAACTCAAAGGGACTACTAATTTTAGTTCTTTATAACCGTAGTTCGTAATAAGCTTATATACAGCATAACTACAGCAAATAGTCGGGACCATATAAGTTCGTTGTATCCGTCAGTTCGTTATAAGCGTGTTCGTTATAACCGTAGTTGACTGTATAATATTGTCACTTTAGGCAATGTTTTTGACGTAGCGTCACGGATATGTCCTTAATATTCACCGTGGCAGTGGTGTAGCCTAGTAGTTAAAGCGTTTGCTCGTCACGCCGAAAACCCGGGTTCGATTCCCCACATGGGTACAACGTATGAAGCCCATTTCTGTAGTCCCCCTTCTGTGTTATTGCTGGAATATTGCTAAAAGCGGCGTAAAACCACACTCACTCACTTAATATTCGCACAGTACACACATCCACTATATGTATCGTATATACTAGCATATCATGTATACAGATAATATCTATATTATGTTTATAAATGTTTACACTGTATGTCTACGTAAACAGTGTATAACATACACTATGTTTACATCAATCATGTATACATCGTATAGTATATAAGCCAATGTAAGAAAACAATATTTTGGGGTAGAATCTTGGCAATAAGGTTTAAAATCATTAATACAAACACTGTACCTATGTTGGGCCTTCATATGCTTTAACAATCAGGCTACCCCACCGCCCTAGTTCAAGAAGTTAAGTCAGTGAATTAAACAATGTGAACTCAAGCGTGACCCTCTCAGGGCACCCAATACTAAGCTAAATAATCGCCCACTCTTCTTTCTCAGACACGACGGACGTCACCCGAAAAGACTGATCAAGTGCCTGCACTTAAACACCTAAATACATATCATTACGTCAAGAAGCGATACCGATGCACACCTGGGGAGTGTTTATGATGTGTATGTCTACACACCATCAACAGACCAAAAGTCGACCCCACCCCCACCCCCAACCCAAACCTCTCCCACGTACACAAACACACCACCCCACCCTTATGACCATGCGGCTTTACCTTATCATGCGGACTAAAACCTCTTTTTACACATTTATGTTGTCAATGTGTAAAATGTGATTCACTTAGGCAATTTAAAATGTGCCTGGATATTTTAATCTTTTGACAGAATGACTAAAATCATCAAGACGTTCAGGAGGGCTTAAAACACCACAATCATGCTAGGATTAGAAGCCAAATAATAAGATAGTGTACAATGACTTTTGTTTTCTTTTAATCCTATCATTTTTAGGCAGTGGGTAACGAAATTCAACATCACAACATTTTGAATTCGTTATCATTATAAAATAAATGGACCCTTTGCTCAGTCAATTTGTAAAATGACTGAATTGTTTAGGTGTTTTTTGAATTGCCAAAATGAAACTTTCAGTCAGTCTACACATTGATTTTATATTTATTTATGTGTATATTTGAGGCAAAAAGGTTTGAGACACGAATGTTAATGTACATATGTTTTTTCTATTTCTTTTATTTCTATAAGCCTATCTTTAAAAAATATTAAACACACTTTGCAACAATGTAATTGTTGTTGCACACACACACACACACACACACACACACACACAGAGTCAAGTGTACGGTCCCTAAGAAATATATTTTTACCCATTGCTAAATATATGGATCTAACAACCTATGTTTTCTGTATTGTTGATAATCAGTTGTTTTCACAGGTTATGAATATCTACTGGCTCAGATAGACAGCAAGAGCACCGCCACTATCTATGCAGCAGCCAGCGCGGCTGGGGGGTCGTGGAGGATCCGGTACCCCCACCTAGGGCAGGAGAAAGTAAACCGTCAGCTCGCTGGCTACGGTAGCGACAGCTTCATCATTGACTCCAGCATGACGACATTAGCTGGCGTGGAATACAAATCCATTCTCGTCAACACTGGGAGCGACAGCGTCAACGTCCACAGCCACAATGGTTTCTCTTACTTTTCCCCACTCCCGGTCACCGCGCTGGGCACGACGTACATTTTGTCGTCATGCATCACCACCAATGGCGCTTACAAAGTGTTGGTCGTTGCCGCGCACAGTCAAAGAACAACTGTTCAAATCAGTTTAACGCTAGCAGGCACCGCTAGTGTTACCTTCCTAAGCACTGTATACAGGAATGGAGGTACCATTAGTCAGACCTTAGATCCATATCAGACGTTGACGCTCTACGCTGACGCCGATTTGACGGGAACAAAAATTAACGCAGATCAAAACGTTGCAGTTTTCAGTGGCACTTACAAAGTCGTTTACGAGCAGTTGTTGCCGGTGAAGCATCATGGGAAGGAGTTTGTTGTAGCTGTTGATGATAACGTCATGATATATCAACTCCAGGTCGTCGGTGAATCTAGCAACACTCAAATAACGTCGAACGGAGTCACGTCAGTACTGGGCGCTGATAACCGCCTTCAGCAGACTATAAACCGAAACGATAGCCTTTACATTACGTCGAACAGTGCCGTGATGGCAATGCTTTGCAGACGAGGTTCCCAGTACAGCGGCTTCCTCCGAATACCCCCAACATCTTTCTATACTAATGAGGCTCAGCTGTACCATCCTGACAGGTGTCTGTTGAAGATTCTGACCACACTGGGCGCTTCAGACATCTTGGTCAAACAATCGGCTTCTACTCTGCCAATAGTGTGGCAGAACATTGCGGGAAGCGGGTACAAGGTCGGCACGTGTGTTGTACCGGGCTCTTCATCCTCAACGTCCATCACCTCCACCGTCAGCAAATTCACCGTCCTCGGCTATATGGCAGACAGCGTCTACAACAGCGGCTACGACGTGGCGAACACTGGCGACCCCACTGTATTGAATTCACCCGCCGCGTTATCATGTAAGTTCATAGTGGAGTCATTCAACCAATCGGCGTTGAGATGCAGCGTTTGGTGAAATTTGTATTTTTGTCAGCGAATTCGTATGAAACCCTTCATTTTTCGGAAATGCAACCAAACTGCCCATATACTAATGGTTGATTCGTTGATGGTTGAACTCTGTGAGGGTTCCGGCTTAGAATTGGTCCCCAGCAATCTGTGGTGGTCGTAATAGATCGGAAGGTCAGGCTCGGTCGACTTCATCGCGATCTTTGCTCAAAATATCAATCAATTTATTGTCTGATTCAGACTCGATTATTTCCAAGCCCCCGTCATATATCTGGAATATTGCCGAATGCGGCGTAAAACAACAACCAAAATGATGATGGTAAAGGGGATGTGGGGTAGCTCAGTGGTAACAATGTTGGCTTATTTCGCGAGCCTCATATTGGCGGGTAGTATGGCAATGGTCAATCAAGTTGAAATGACTGCGATAAAAGCCCACAACTAACTACATGTGTACCCAGTTTTCATTACATTTTGAAAAAAATGACGGAATAATGGTCATAAATATTATTTTCAATATGGCCTCCAAAATATCGCCAAAATAGAACGCATGTGTTGAAGGCCACTATCAACTACACACGAAAGTATGACATTTTGATCAAAATTTCCATTTTGAGGTTATTCAATATGGCCGCCGCGACGGCCATGTTTAAAATCGGATACGAACGTCTTGAACATCATTTTGGTGGAAACAAGTATGTGGAGTTTAAAATTCAATGGTCCAGTGGTTTCTGAGATTTTTAAGGCGGATGACGCATGACGGACGACGGACAAACCGGTCTTCACATAATCTTTACATACGAAATGTCAACATGAATTGCTTATCCCCGCATGTAGGTTGAAGGTTGGAAGTCGTATTCACCTTTGCAATGGGTTGTGCGTCGATCCATTATGATGATGACCACATATATTTCAGTATATTACATAGATAGACAGAGAAAAGTAGAGCATTGACAGAGAAAAGTAGAGCATAGATAGATAAAAAAATAGAGCATAGACAGAAAGGTAGAACAAAGAAAAAAGTAGAGCATAGATAGACAGAAAAGTAGAGCATAGACAGAAAAATAAAGCGTAGATAGACAGAAAAGTAGAGCATAGACAGAAAGGTAGAGCATAGACAGAAAAGAACAGATAGACAGAAAAGTAGAGCATAGACAGAAAAAGCGTAGATAGACAGAAAAGTAGAGCATAGACAGAAAGGTAGAGCAAAGACAGAAAAGAACAGATAGACAGAAAAGTAGAGCATAGATAGAAACGTAGAGCATAGACAAATGTAGAGCATAGACAGAAATGTAGAGCATAGAGGAAAAGTAGAGCACAGATAGAAAGAAAAATAGACCACAGACAGAAAAGTGGAAAATACAAAGACAATAGTGGATCATAGATTGACATAAAAGCAGAGCATAGTAAATAGTTTAACATACAGAGAAGAGTAGAGCATAAATTGGCAGGAACGTAGAGCAAAGGTAGACAAAGGTATTACATAGATTAAGAATAGTAGGAATAGATAGACTGCAAAGGTAGAGCATAAATTAACTATTGGAAGAACATGGACGTGAAAACTAGAACATAGATAACCGGATATTTCAGAGCATATATAGACGTAATATGATGACACCGATAGGCAGAATCCTAGATACGCCCTGATTATGTTTCTAGGTTTGTCACCACCATACCCGTTCCCGTAGGTTTCACAAAGTGGTAAACGTCACTTCTGACGGGCCTCCTACATAAAGCTGACACGCCGTGACAAAGTGGAACTACTGTTGAAAGCGGCGTTAAGGCCACTCATAATAGACGACAGCTGTTGATTTCACTCAAAAATATACATCGTATGATCTGCCCAAAGGGAATTAATAATAAATAATTAATAACAAATATGGAATTAAAACAATAAATAATTAAAACAAAGATGGAATTAAAACAATAAATGGATCGATACCCGCTCCAATAGTGCCTGAGTGGATAACTCAATGATCAACGAAACGTTTGCAGTTTGCGTGGTTTTACTGTACAATAAGTTGCCGACGGGAAGATTACAGCTAAATAATTTTTGAAATGATGGTTTTTATGGACAAATATGTGTTGACAATAATTTTCTTATTTTAGCCGACAACAACGACGCCCTTTTCATCGGCCTGATCTGTGGACTTGCTCTATTTGGTTTGCTTTTCGTCGCCCTCCTGACTATCATGATGTAAGTTTTAAATTCAAAGAACTCGGCACCGTGGGGACTCTGGGTACGAAGTAGCTTAGAGGCGACACGGTGGAAAGGGTGGTTGGTGCATGTCATCGTATCCCAATTGCGTTGATAGATGCTCAAGACGTCAGTCACTTTTGTTTTTTTTTTAATTTTTTTTTTTACATCATTTATTCATGTTTATTGTCCACGATTTTACATGGCCCTGTACATTGCCACGTGGACTGGCATACCAGGGTTTATATTGGGGTTTGAGTTGCTTAAAGCAATAATACTCATCTAATTATTCAGTACACATTTAATTTTTTCTGCAAGATTAACATTGTTATACTGTAGTACTTTGTATTGTATTTCTTTTAAATATTCTAAAAAGGCAGTTTCAGTTACTTTACATCTGTACACAATATACTTTGCTAGCAGTAGTAAATAATTCATCAAAGTACACTCTTCTGCGCCTCCTTCTATACCATACAATACAATATCTCTGTAATTATCATAAATCTGATTATGTTCATTAACCTTCCCCACTTAAAGAATTCTATCCAAAAGGGTAATACATTTGAACAGTAAAACATGTAATGTCTAACAGTATCTATACTACCACAATGTTCACATACATTACTTTCTTTAATGTTAATTCTATTTAAATACTGATTACAAGGAATGATGGAGTGTAGAATTTTGAATTGCAGTTGCTTATACTTGTTTCCAATTCTCATGTCCTTAAAATTTTCCATTTAAAAACATCTTCATTAGACGTCAATCACTTGATTGTCTGACTTTGTGGGTTGGCGATTAGGTGCCTCACCAGGGCAGTGTGGGTTCGAATCCCGGGCGGGACTCAACCCAAAATATAACGAGAATCTGTACTTTACTCAGAAAGTGTTATCCCAAGTATATCATTTCTTATAAATGTTAAATGAGTTATTTATGCAGTTATACGCCCAATACACTACTTATAAAGGTTTTATTGTCTTTCGTAACGTTAGTGTGTAATGTTTCAGGCTGAGGAGGTCTGGAAAGAAGCTGAGGTCAAAGAGCGTCACTTCCCGTCACACCTATGTGTCTCGCGACAGCGGAGCCAAAGAGTTTAAAGAGAGACCCCTGGAGTTGATCGAGAGGCCCCGAGACTTGGTGGTGGTGGAGCGGCCCCGAGAAGTGATTAAGAGACCCCGAGAATGGGTGGAGCGACCCCGAGAAGTGATTGAGAGACCCCGAGAAGTGATGGAGAGACCCCGAGAATGGGTTGAGAGACCCCGAGAAGTGCTTGAGAGACCCCGTGAATTGATAGAGAGACCCCGAGAATGGATGGAGAGACCCCGAGAAGTGATTGAGAGACCCCGTGAATTGACAGAGAGACCCCGAGAATGGTTGGAGCGACCCCGAGAAGTGATGGAGAGAACGCGAGAATGGGTGGAGCGACCCCGAGAAGTGATTGAGAGATCCCGAGAAGTGATGGAGAGACCCCGAGAGTTGATAGAGAGACCTATGGATGCCAATAGAGACTACGACGAACCCCTATATGACAGCCACTATGGCTTCAGAATCGTCAAATTATAATGCGGACCACATCCATTATCATAATCATCGCCTCCATCACCATCATCATCATAATCATCAACGTGGGGTGGTTAAGTGGTTAAAGCGTTCGCTCGTCACGTCGAGGACCCGGGTTCGATTCCCGACATGGGTACAATGTGTGAAGCCCATTTCTGGTGTCCCCCGCCATGATATTGCCGGAATATTGCTAAACGCGGCGTAAAACCAAACTCACTCACTCACTCATCATCATCGTCACCTCCATTGTCATCACCATGCCCGTGGTGAAATTTAAAGCGTTTTGCAAAAGCGAACTCCGAAAACAAACCGGGCAAGCGTTATCATCACGTAATAGTATCAAAACCAATCTAACTTAAACAGCCACGCGAGTTAATTAAACACGGAACGTAAAAGCAGATTCAATTAAGTATCGCGATGGTGGGGTAGTTCAGTGGTTAGAGCAGTCGCTCGTCACGCCTGATTCCTAGGTTCGATTCTCTCAACTTCAGAATTGTACTCAGTGGAAACAAAATAATGTAAAGATTTGTATTTTGATTGTCTTTGTTTACGCCGCACGCGATTGTTATCAAAGGACATAAACACGTTTAGAGTGTATTAATATACATTGTTTACAATATGCACCCCGATAAACATTACTTGGTCTCCAGACCCGTGAAAATTCCGGGGTAGAATAGGTCTTCAGCAACCCATGCTTGCCGTAAAAGGTGACTATGCTTGTCGTAAAAGGCGACTAACGGGATCGGGTGGTCAGATTTGGTTGATACATGTCATCGATCCCAGTTGCGTGGATCGATGCTCATGATATCAATCATTGGATTGTCTGGTCCAGACTCGATTATTTACAGACCGCCGTCATATAGCTGGAATAGTGCTGAGTGCGGCGTTAAACAACAAACCAACCAACCAACTTGGTCGTAAATCAATGCTTACAATTGCTTACAACTGCTTACAATTAAGTTGTTTCCTTGTAGATGTAACCACCTTTGTCACCTCGTTTCAAGTTTGATAAAGAAGTATTTGTTTTAGTGTTGGTCGCTGTTGTGAAATTTATGATGGCGTTTACTCCTTGGTAAATACAGTGTGGTGCCATGCCAGTGAAGGTAGCACAAGGGAAAATATGTGAGATCTGAGACCTAAGTGCCTTCAGAAAGCGGACGGGAATAAATATGATTATCGAACTAAATAAATTGCACTTGATGTCTTCCTAATTAAATTTTCGGTGATGGGTAGCCTAGTGGTGAAAGCGTTCCCTCGTCACGCCGAAGGCCCGGGTTTGAATCCGTGCTTGGACAGAATGCGTGAAGCCCATTTTTGGTAACCACAGTTCAATATGGCTGGCATATTGTTTAAAACGGCGTAAAGCTCCCTCACGCATCCCTATTTAGGCTGGAAATAGTCTCAAGGAACTTTATCGAATAGAAGTATGAATTATTTATTTATTAGAATATATTAAAATGTATTTACCATCCAACACTACGTTTGTTGTGTTTCGTTTATACATATTGATTTGTTTGTTTGTTTTTCTACGCCCCGCAACATTCCTGTTTTGTGACAGCGGCCTGTAAATAATCGAGTCTGGATCAGACACTCTAGTATTAGACGTCATGAGCATCGATCCACGCAATTGGGATACGATGACATGCATCAACCAAGTCAGCGAGCCTGACCACCCATTCCACCGTGTCGCCTCAAAGTTGCTTCTTACCCAGAATCCCCACGGTGCCGAGTTCTTTGAATTTCTTTGAGTCTGGACCAGTATGAGTATGTTTATTTTCACCGCATCATCAAACTTGTTGCTTTCGCGGCGATCAAACGTTTAAGGGTAACGCTATTTTTCAGGGCATTATCAGTTGCAGAAGTCCGAGGTCTTCCATTAAGCGTGCGACGAAAGAGTTACCGTTATTGTAACAAACTGGATAGACTTTGTTATGAAATAAAAATAAACAACAATTGACTGCAATCAACAGACAACGAATGTCACTGATTGAACGTCCCTATGACGTCACCAAACAACGGGCGTGATAATGGCCCGTCGTCAAGCAATATGAGCGCATTATCAAGTTACAGTGGCCCGCTCATATCTGATAACATGCGTTTGATGAAAACTTTATGTATTTTAGCTATTATACAGAATAACGCTATTGTATGGCACCCGTGGAATAGACACACACTGTGACGGTTATCAGTGCTTATGTGTGAGGTGAGGTTAAATCGGGTTTAACGTCGCGTCCAAGATTATTGCTCTTATATAGCGACGCGCATGCACGTGTATGCGTGTGTGGCTGCTTGTACTAGTCCGGACTGATGCCGCTCACTGAGATACCATGCTGCAGTTTAACATGAATACTCCACTCAGACACAGTATACTGACTCCGAGCCGACCAGTCCTAGTTTTAGCCCCTTAATGCCGAACGCCAGACAGGTTAACAACAAGTACCATCTTTTAACGTCTTTTGGTACGACGCGGCCGGGGATCGAACCCCGAACCTTCCGCTATCCGGGCGGACGCGCTACCACTAGACCACGGAGGCGGTCATATTGCTAATGATACCAAAATAGTGCCTATACCGGGGTGTCCATGTTGATCCATATCAGTGGGCACTATGCCATGCGTTTAGTTGAGATAAGGATGAAATTATATTGTTTTCAATTTTGCATCCTCTTCGTGTACCAAACAATATTCAGAGGCATCAGAGCGATTATAATAACCAATAACATAATGCAATGCGGATTTTGAATAACGCGTTGACACATGTTACAGATGAGTTCACAAGTTATAAAGATTTATTGTCTGAAACATATTTCATTTTTATCCAAACCTGGTTTTCACGTGACATTTCGCATGTGTGAGATATATAGAACACTAAACGAGCTCCCGTGAAATGCCAAATTTATGAAACGAGAGAAAAGTTATTCAAACTTGGTATTACGCGGGGGTAAGCTTAGTTTTTTATTTACCACTTGCGGCTTATGACTTTTTAAAAACTCGTTTGATTTGAATGGAAATATTTCACTGTCCTGTGTAAATGGGCAGACATCGACGCGATCCACAGCATAACCCAATTGAGTTTATTCAGTTTAACAGAATAATACAAATTCAAACATAGATGTTGTTGCTTTGTTGTTTAACAGCTTTTTCCAGGTCTGTCTATAATCGAGTCTTCATGAGGCATTCCAGTGACTGACATCATGAGCATCGATCAACGTAGTTGGGATACGATGACATGCATGAACCATGTCGGCGAGTCTTGAACACCCGATACCGTTAGTCGCCTCTTACGACAAGCATAGTCGCCTTTGACGGCAAGCATTGGTTGCTGAAGACCTATTCTACCCCGGATCTTCACGGGTCATCAGCTCATGTAATTAGCGAAGCGGCTAGGGCTGGGTTCAATGCTTTGATTGGGTTATCAATCTCAATTACGAAATCACGACATCTGCCTTCAAACAAGATATGGCGCTTTATATGCCCCAGGAGTTTTTATTACTGCAAATACTTCACTCGAAATTATAGCTTGTCTCCCAGTGAGTGAGTGAGTGAGTAAGTTGGGTTTAACTCCGCTTTTAACAGTATTCCAGTTATATCGCGGCGTGTCAGCTTAATGTGGGAGGAAAGCCCGAAGTGATGCAGGTTTCAGACGTTTACCACTTCGGTGAAACCCATGAGCACGGGTATGGTGCTGACAAACCTAGAAACATAATCGAGGCGAACCGGGAATCGAATCCACAATCATAGGTTTCTGGCGTGCCCAAGGGACGCAACTCTGCACAGCGAATCGCGGCGCCTTAGACGACTGGGACACCCGTGCCCCCCCCCCCTGTCTCCCAGACCCAAGACTATATTAAAAAATGAATCCAACTCAAGTCTATTATGATTTGGGAAGGCTGGGTTGCCTGAAATTAAGTAGCGTTCTGGGTTCCATTTGGATTTTATATGTTTATTACAGAGTTACAGATAAGCAGGGTATTTGCGTAAAATACCCCCAAACATATTCAAAACCCAATTACTTTCAATTAACTTGCGTACAAAGCAGCTAATTTCCGAAACACAATTTCGAGCTAATTTACTTTCCGAGTCAAGCCTATATATTTAGAACAGTTACATACATCTAAAACATTATTTCATTTGTTTTTAATCTTAAAATGTTCACTAATTTTGGGAAAACCCAATAGAGTGATGAATAGATGAGTGAAAAAATTTTGGTTACCAATTGAAAAAAATGTAATAACCCAATTAAAATAGAAACCCTACAGTAAAAACTCAATTGCTCAAAAAGTAACTATATTTCTGGGACTAATACTGGTCCAGTTATGACAGGCACTAAAAGCACGGAGAAGAGCTAAAATCTATAACTTAGCCACAAACTATAGTAGCAACACCTTTGCTTTTGTAACCTATAAATTGTACACAAGGTAATTTGCAAATTCGTCGTAGAATTGGTGTTTAACGCCATTTTGTTAAGGAAACTTTCAATGAATAGCTGTGTCATGCAACTAGGGTGTGGTAAATACTTCTCTTTCAGATAACGAACTTAAGTGTACTCGCGAGTGTATGCTGAATTGAGTGCATTCGTACCTACACACTACACAATACGACATACAGGAGAGCAATGTCTCACTCTCTACACTACAAGAGATATATGCGATATCTCACTCTCTAAACAATGCATTTGATATATATGATGTCTCAATCTCTCCACACTGCAACAGATATATATATGTTGTCTCACTCTCTTCACACTACAACAGATGTATGATGTTTCACTCTCTCCACACTACAACAGATATATATGACGTCTCACCCTCCACACTACAACAGATGTATATGATGCCTCACTCTCTCCACACTACAACAGATGTATATGATGTCTCACCCTCCACACTAGAACAGACACATATGACGGGTCACTATCTCAACACTAGAACAGATATATAGATGTCTCACTCTCTCCACACTACAACAGATATATAGGATGTCTCACTCTCTCGACACTACAACAGATATATATGACGTCTCACCCTCCACACTACAACAGATATATAGGATGTCTCACTCTCCCCACACTACAACAGATATATATGACGTCTCACCCTCCACACAACAGATATATAGGATGTCTCAATCTCTCCGCACTACAACAGATATATATGACGACTCCCTCCCTCCACACAACAGATGTATATGATGTCTCACTCTCTTCACACTACAACAGATATATATGACGTCTTACCCTCCACACAACAGATGTATATGATGTCTCACTCTCTCCACACTACAACAGATATATAGGATGTCTCACTCTCTCCACACAACAGATGTATATGATGTCTCACTCTCTCCACACTACAACAGATATATAGGATGTCTCTCTCTCTCTACACTACAACAGATATATATGACGACTCCCTCCCTCCACACAACAGATGTATATGATGTCTCACTCTCTCCACACAACAGATGTATATGATGTCTCACTCTCTCCACACTACAACAGATATATATGATGTCTCACTCTCTCCACACTACAACAGATATATAGGATGTCTCACTCTCTCCACACAACAGATGTATATGATGTCTCACTCTCTCCACACTACAACAGATATATATGACGTCTCACCCTCCATACTAGAACCGACATATATGATGTCTCACTCTCTCCACACTACAACAGATATATAGGATGTCTCTCTCTCTCCACACTACAACAGATATATATGACGACTCCCTCCCTCCACACAACAGATGTATATGATGTCT